AATACATGCAAATTAACATGAATTGTTGTAGAAATGAACTGTCGACGAAATGATTGTCGACGAAATGAACTTTCGACAAAATGATTGTCGATGAAATGATTGTCGATGAAATAATTGTCGACGAAATAATTTTCGATGAAATGATTGTCGACGAAATGATTGTCGACGAAATGAATCAGACCCGTTTTTAGTGTATCGGTCAAAAATTCAATGATAAAACAATACTTATTATTTATTATGTATTCTAAAACTCTTTGTAAACCACCGAAAATAAATAATAATATTTAGTTTATACGTATTACAGCCAGAACTCATTAAGACGATTCTTTGGTAAAACAAATATATACGATAAACCGATACTTTTTTTATTATCTACCAAGTCCACCAATCATTGAATAGGTAGATTGATAGATATGAAAGAAATTATAGTTGGAAAAAAACCAAACAAGTATCAATATATTGAGCTGGACTACAAACACATACAGATTTAAGAAATCTGAATTGGCCTCTAAAAATAAATAAAATCATCAATCGAATTATTAAATTTATCTCTATAAGCCGATTTTATTTGTGAAATTTCAACAAGTTCTGACTGCGGAACAGGATTTCCCTCGTTATATTATCTGTTGTGGGAAATGACAAGTTTTATTTTCTAGCTGCACAAAATCAATGTAACGTTTCTAATTATACATAATACCATATTATTTATATTCTTTGACTCAACATCAACATTATTCTTTCTTTGAATTCTTATATACTTTATCAAACACAAATATGCGGATTCGATGTTTAAAGAAAGGATTAGGCATCTTAGTGAGTATTAATTTTAATTCGAAGAATCCATTTCGTATTCCGCTTAAGAGAGTGTCCGGGGAAGCTATATAGACTAATTGAATGTAATTCTTCACAATCACAAATAATCGTCCTAATTCTAAGATAGAAATTAAAGGAAAAAATGAACCTGATAGTGTAAAGAAAGGATTGCTACACAACGCGACCATCAAATTATTTATTATCACTGGTATAATTTGTTTATATTTTTATTGTGTTCGATTAATTGTTTTATTGTGACTGAAACTTTTGTACGTAAATAAATAAAATGAACAAAAGAATTGGTAAAAATATTTTTAAAGAGTGTTTATTTTATTTATCATCTATTTACATTATATAATAGGACCAGGAAAACTATTGAATGTGACCAGTACTTTAAAAAAAGAGAGAAATATCATTATAATTTTTCAATATTTTAGTTTTATTTCAAACAAACATAGCCTGACGTTTAAAGTTTAATTAGTGAAATTGAATTATTAAATGTAGATATTAATATGGAAATCCTAATTGTAAATCGTATCAACATAATCGACTAACTATATTATATATATTAATATTAATTGATTTTTTCTGTCATTGAAGCTAGTATTACCGAAATATAAACACAACTGACAAAGGGTTTTTTCCTTCGATTATACTCACAATTCTTTGATTATCCTTAAAGTTTACCCCTAAAAATAATCCCGCAAATAATGATGTCAATTAAATAGATAATAATAATAAGGAATTTGAATACATAATAATAATAAGGAGCACAGACGTATATATTCATTATTTATTATAAACAGACCCTGAAATTTGTGCGTGGGAATTATCAAACTAAATAATCATGTATAGTATAAATTATTATAATTCATGTATAGTATAAATTATTGATAAAAAATTCCTACACGCTATATCTATATATTAAAAGTGATTGGTTTGGTATTAGTAGAAGTTCTAAAAGAACATAAAATAGGGACGTTTATTCCAACATATCAAAACAAAAAATGTTCTATTCCAAAATTAGAATTTTTTTTTCGCGCCTTTATTAATAATTGTTAATAATTGTTAATAATAATAATAATAATAATAATAATAATAATAATAATCGTAAGAATTCATAGAAAATAAACCATCCAAGTTTAAATAAATAAAATGCCGAAGCCCAATAAAAGAAAAAGACTAAAGAAAAATTAACAGCAATTCAAATGAAAAGACAAAAGGAAACTTCTTTATCCACCAATCTCACTGTTGGGGAAGAAGCAGCTAAAAAATTAGCACGGAGTTTTTTAATACCTAGAAGAAACTAACCGATATTTTTCATTACCTTTAAATTATATTTTTCATGATTTATTTAGCATTTTTTTCAAAAGGAAAAAAGATCAAAAAATTTTTATAATAAATCGCATAACTTTGAATTCTTATAAATCCTTATTCTACTAATAAAATTAAAAAAAAAAAACTCTCTGTCAGGCTATTCTTTGAATCACAGAGAAAAAATCGTGGAAATTTTTTTACTCTAACTTGTTTGGTTATTGAGCCTATACGTTTCAAAGTTTAACAGTATTTTTAACATTTTGGATGATTTTACTAATAAAATTAAAAAAAACTCTCTGTCGCCATGTGGACCATTACATTTGTTATAATATCTCTTAATTTTATAGTTGTATCTTTTTTTTGAATGAGAAGATACAATTTTATTTTTATAATTGTTGAAAAAAAGTTTATTAATGGCTAGACATATTAATATATGAAAATTCATTTAAAATCCGCTGAAGCAAGGGTTATACTGTATTAGTATTCAAATCATTACCCGTTATAATGAATTTGTTGACAAATAAATCATTTAAATTTATAATATTAATATTAACATAGAGATTGTGAATCAATTTAAGATTACCGAAAATTTATATATTATATAATTAATGATGATTTAAAAAGAATAAAGAAAAAAATTCTATACATTAATTGAAAATGCAAATAACATCAATGATAAATTGATATTATGGCATGAATGCGAAAGGAAATGAAAAAATATCCACATTTTTTCTTGAATACAAAATAATTAGATGGATTCCATTTAATACATGAAAGAAAAAATAGCTATTCTATGCTTAAACAAGGTGTTTTGGGGTCAGCGCAAAGGTCCCCAAAAAATTTTACCCACAATGGTCTTGAATTGCTCAGCAGCATTAAGAAAAGTAGCATAAATATTACAAATACACCAGAAATCCAAAAGTAACAACGAACTAGGAATCGAATATTTTTGCCATGTATTCCTATAATATTGAATAAAAGTGAAATCACATTATTTAGTGTCCACACTCCACACAACACGGTCAGAAATCTACTCCTACATCCATACCCAATTGGGTTTGTGAAATAGGCCAGAAGTACTGCCAGCCAAGGAGATATAATTGCGAATAAACCAGTCTCAATGATGTTATGTCTTCTATCCTTTGGTGAATTACTTACTATTATTTGCCCAACAATCCTTTCATTGGGGTTATGGACCACTACTATTCCTCCTATCACTCTCTTAAAAATTGCTGGCAAAGTCCAAGCCAATGCTAGTGGAATATATGGCCATTCCTCTTTGATACATGGTCCGATTGCCCTGATTATACCTGCAAGCATCCCTACTACTATGTGGTAAATGGATCCCATGTAATTAAGGCGGTCTAATATTGATACTTCGGCCACACATGCTTTCATAAGTTCTTTCTGTTCCGTGGTGAGATCTATTTGCTTAGCATTCCATCCAAAAAGCCTGTAGTTGAGTATTGTAACACCATCATCATCATATATCGTTCTATTATAATTACCTTCAACAAAGTGATCAGGTTTGAGCCAATATGTGCTCATAATGATCGCATCGTTCTTTACATTACAGTAGTAACATAGGCATTCTATAGGGGCTCCTAAACACAGAAATATCCATCGAATTTTCTCTCTAAAACCACCCACCGGTGTGGCCCCTAAGATTGCTATAGCAGATAAGGAACCTAAAACATACTGTGGTACCGAGTTTAGAAATGACTGTACAAATTTAACCATTTGTTTAACAATTTCTTCTGACATTTGTTCCTATGATAAAAAAAACCAAAAAAATTAGACTCCAAATAACAAAATTATTTTAAAAAAATATATAAGTCAGTCGGTAGACATTCAGTACTGTAGGAATGCAAAAGAGTACAAGTACTGAATGTCTATATACTCATATAAATTAGATTACATACTTTAAAAAAAATTTTATTTCAAATTTATGATAATTTTCTAAAGATAAATTTTGAAATATATAATTGATGATCCACGAATATAGTATATAGTTATAAATATAATACTACTATCTTGTTAAAAAAATACGGTTTATATTTTATTATTGCTGCTATAAATAGAATCGAATTAATATTAATTAGTATTGGTTTCCAAAACTAAAGAGTTTCGCAACAGTGCGAAAGTCGAAACCAATTTTGGTGAGTATTAAATTTAATTCAAAGAATCCATTTTGTATTCCGCTTAAGAAAGTGGCCGGGGAAGCTATATAGACTAATTGAATGTAATTCTTCACAATCACAAATAATCGTCCTAATTCTAAGATAGAAATTAAAGGAAAAAATGAACCTGATAGTGTAAAGAAAGGATTGCTACACAACGCGACCATCAAATTATTTATTATCACTGGTATAATTTGTTTATATTTTTA